AAGCAAGCCTACAAAGCGTAATGCAATGAAGCGAATGAATAAGAATAAAACATTCAACGAGGAATCTACATGTCATAAAGGTGCTGAAAATATAAATATTAAAGCTGCTCAAAACATGACTGAAAACAATGCAGCGGATTTTAACTCAAGTAAAATAAATCCACAGCANATACAGCAGGGCCTTGATAATCCGTACCCCAGCTAGTCCGAACGCCTCTATAATCCGAACGACCCCCCTTACCCCTGCGCAACCGCCGTTTCTCACAGTTTCTGTCTCGCCAGTGCCACGCAGTGCGTTTTTTGTTTGGAATGGGCAGATGAAGTCGACATTTCTATTCCGGAAAAAATGCTGTTACGTAAATTAAGGGATAAAGCATTTTCTATGTCGCTAAATACTACTCGTCAATGCACTATATTGGAATTCTTTAAAAAAGTGTGATTAATAGCATTGTATCTAACATACATCTAACGTACATACTTAAATAAATACATTATAATGTAAAATATTTTTGTTTTATTTCGAAAATTCCCTTTCAAAATGTCTACATACTATAATCCGAACGCTTCGTGAATCCGAACAGGGTATAAATTTTCGGTGTTCGGATTATCGAGGCCCTGCTGTACTTAAATTTTACAACTTACCTTCGATGTGCGTTTATAAAACCGGCAAGTAAATGGAAATTTTACAAGCCGTTCAGTTTCATTAGACAAATAACACCTACGTTAAACTATAGCAACACCAAATTCCTTGCCTTTAAGAAACTCTGTTATAATTTAAGATAACGTGTTACAATAGTATATTATTCAACGAGCGTATAATGATGGGTTTTATTCACGAGGTGAAGTTTACGGCCACGAGCCGCAGGCGAGTGGCCTAAATCACCGAGTGGATAATAGCCATTATACGGGAGTAGAATCCTATACTTTATCCACGACTACTAAATATTTTTGTTGAAGTTTTTTTTGTTGGAAAATTTTGTTATATTACATACACATTTTAAGAAACACTATTATTTTTTTCTAATAAATATTTCATACATTACATTATTGTTCATTTATACACAGTACATAGTTATCAAAAATTATAATAATCGTATAATATCTCATAATAAGTAATACAAAAATCTATATATTTAGCTTAACAAATATTACGTGTTTAATTTTACAAGATGATGCTATTTATTTATAGTTATTAATAATTGTAATATTTGAACAATTGGTCAAGTTAATCGGGGGGATAGAATTAACATCAAAACTAATGTTTTGGTGACTTGAAACATTTGAATTATATGTACATTGATTCGTTTGGTTTAGTTTTGGTTGAATTGAAGATGATATTTTGTTGGCCGTATTGGTTTTATTTTTGACGGATTCGTCTATATAGCCTTCTGCTACGGCGGTGGACTTCCATCCACCGTGTCTTTTGAGAGCAGTAATATCCCCGCCTGCGTCAACCAGTATTGTTGCAGAAGATCTGCGGAAACTGTGCCCATAATATTGTTCTGGATTCGGCAATTTGAGGAAAGCAGCGATATCCTTTCCCATTTTTGTAAATTTGTTTATCCCAATTCTCTGAGTTGTACATTTACCATTTTGGAAATTTAAAAAGAATGTGTCACTAGTTACCTGACTTGGTCGAAGACTTATATATGTCTTGCATATTTTGTAAAAGTTATCCGTAACAGTAAATTTTCGGCAAATTTTTGTCTTGGTATTTGGCACATTAACCAAAAAAGCTGATCCAAAATCTTGTAAATGGGTTATTTTCATTTCATACAACTCATTACTTCTGCATGCACCCATTACTCCCATTATTAAAGCAACCTTAAATTACAGAATGTAATGAAATAACTATGTGCAAGATTTACTTAATATCTTACCTTTGTTGCTAGGTATTTATTATCAGATGCTTTAGTTAAAAAGTTATTGATATCTTCGCCAGAAAAAGTTTTCGCTTTTTAGGCTAAAAACCTTATAATTTTCGTTTTAGTAATGCTCGTAATCTTCTAAATTTATATCTTGATGTAAGGTGATCGTACTTCTAAGCATTGAATAATAGGGTCCATAGTGTTGAAGATTTATATTTTGTGAATAATTCAGTGAAGTATACTAACAAAGTCGATTCAGAAAATGAAGTGGTTTTCTTTTCCTTTTGCCACTTCAAAAAATATTCATAGGCCATACTATATACTTTCCTTGACTTTTCCGGCAATAAATTTAATGAGGCAACTTCAGCAGCTTCTCTAATTTCTGGCGGTGTTAAAGAAAAGTCATTTTCATTTTCTATATCCATTTTTAGTTCGTTTTTTAACACAATTTAACACAAAATATCAAAACACTGAGAAATCTATGCACACAAACAATAATGTAGACAGGTTTGAGTCAAATTTGTTTTGTTTTAAAAGCTACTTAGATTTATGAAATGTTTCGAAAAACATGGTATGTTAAGAAACAGATATACGACACGCACAAACGAAGTCGCTGATGGCTTAGTGTAGATGCTTCTTCCCTTCTAACCGCGGGTTCCGGGTTCGAATCTGGTCTAGGAAAATTCACTTTTTTAATTTTTTTTTATATGTACAGCACTGAATTGAAAATATTTAGTGGTTTACACGATAAAATTTTAAAAACCGATTGTTTGTAGCAGAACAATATAATATTATAGCTAAATCAAGGAAGCATCTGACAGTAGTGATTAATGACTCATTAATCACTGCCGTGATTAATGGGTATTAATAAGGTCGAGCAAACAGACGTATAATGGGTACATTATACAATAGTCGTGGATAAACTATTTTATGTTGTACTTACCTGTTATTTACGAGTTTGCATTTGATTCATGTTTCATAACCTAAAAGACATGTCAGTTATATGTGTTTTTGTCTAATACTGACTCTAGTTTATAATAATTTTGCATAATTATTATTAAAAATGTCGAAACAAAAGCGTCTTCAAAAAACAACAAAATTGTAAAACCAGTATTTGCTAAAAATGGTCTTAATTCCTCAATAACATGCACGTTATATCTTAACAGTTAACGTTAACAACCCTGATAATAATAATGCAGAATTATGATAAGTACCCGACTCAATAGACAAAAACACATACAACTCTTTCTTCTTTTAGGTTATGAAACATGAAACAAATACAACGTAGAGTGCAAATAACAGGTACCTACGTACAACGTAAAATAGCGGCCGTTTACGACTTGTTATACAAACGTTATTTCTAACATAACGTTTTAAAATGGGATACATACTCGGCCTGATTGTGTGTGTATGTTATTGTTATCATTATGTTATTACTAATACAATTCAAACTACAAGTCTACAAGTATTAATAAATAAATTTCCACGTTTTACATAGACAAGAATGCGTAAAAATATCGAGCTTTTACAAAATTTAATCAACAAAAATATTAATCCTCATTAATATTTACCTTTTTGAAATTAACAATAGATATTGAGCTTACAATAATTCAAAGAAACACACGTTTACTAACGCACGCGCATTGACAATAGCGAACGAAATAATCTATCTTTGTCATAGGCATACTATGTCCACGACTTTGGTACCATGGTGCGACAAAGCGAACGTGATTTTTTTGTCTTTGTCTTGGCAGTGTCGTAGGAGCTAAATAAAATTTAGAAGATAAAAAGGTAAATAAATTTGCAGCCGTCTAAGAAACCAACGTAAAAAAAAATTCGAAGGCAACTTTTCATTATTTTAAATAATCAATCGAATAGTATAGAAAAAACATTGTTTTAGTTTTGTTAAATCATTAAAATTAATGATTAAAAATTTGATTTTGTTATAACTTTCTTATTAAAAATTAAAAAGTATATCTATTTCTCTGAAAAGAAAAGTTACATTATTTAGAGCAGATTGAAAAAAAAAATACAAAATTCATTAATTTTTCTGTTTGTTATGATTTTTTTAAATTTCTGAAATCTTCCCTTAACTTCTAGCCTCCCTAACTCTGTTTAATTTTAATAGTACAAGAAAAAGTCAAGAGGCGATTTTTATGTAGAATTGTATGCTTTATAACTTTTTTTCTAGCCCTTACCCTTTTTGAGTTATCTTGAAAACCCCCTTTGTTTTATCTTTTTTCACCCTTGGCCGGGGGTTGAACAAAAAATTACTCTCACTTATTGTTATAATATACTTTAAACTAACTCATATCAGAAATTCAGCCAAGTTGACCAAAATTTCGATTTAAAGGCTTTTTAATTATTGGACTATTAGGAGAGAATCTAATTCGGACAATATTTAACGAAATATTGGATTTTATTGTTTATTTTTGGCTTAATACTACAGTAAAATTGGGTTGCATAGAGCGGATTTCGGCGCGTAAGATTTCCATTTGAAACTTTGACTTCAGGAATTAATTTTTATAATGCGTCAGGGTGTACGTTCACGTTTAAAACCTATTTAACAAAAAATAAGTAGATTCGTTTTGTATTTGCTGTTATTTTTCTGTTTATTTTGTCATGATAAAATTTGATTATATTATCTCCAGTTTTTTTATTTATAAATTTTTAAGGTTGGCGATAAAATTTTGTACGCACCACATCAATAACTCGCCTGTTACTCGCCTCGCTTGCTTGGCTCGTTTGGCTCGCTCGGTTTATAACTTCAGACTCGTTAAGTAATGAATGACATTAGTGACGGGGTACATAAATAACATTATTATTCTATATTTGACAGATATGGGTCTATTCTTTTGTTATCAAGGTACAAGGCATGAGTCATTTTATGAATTTTGCTCATATCTCCGAAAAGTAACCGACATATCTTTATGAAACTTAGTAGGTGTATGTTTTGAGAATCTATGAACTGCCTGGTCGATCAGTATAAATAAATTATACAAGGCGTTTGTTGTGCGACTAACCACAAATATTTTACATCACCACTTTTTTTCTGCCATATCGCATGCTGAAGACATAGTACGTGTTAATTTTTTAGATATCCTATATAAATATTTAAAATATAATACTTACTTCATCTTCGCAATTTAGTAATGGCGGTGCTAATGTTACAAATTCTGGTTTATAAATTTTGTTTACTGGAGCATTATCACCACTAGCAAGTTTTTTTATGATAATATCGTCTGTTCCAAAATTCTGAGAATAACTAAAACAAAAAATAATTGTATTTAACACAGGGTGTAACTTTAAGTGGGGGTCAGTTTTTTACGTGCAATAGTGAATCTGAAATTCTTTTTTTTTAATCAAATCAATACTCGAGTTATAATTAGTTCTTTAAACTGCGCTTTAATTATTGTCTACGCCGCCACTGAAAAGAGTAAACCAGCGCTCCCGGAATTTATGAAGTTATATTCCTCACTGCCGGCGCGGCGTTGCCAGTTGCTTTTATACCAACTACATTGTGCGAAGTTATAAAATAATTTAACAAATCAGATTGTTTTTGTATAATTTAATGACTTGTCATTTAAAATCCATCACATTGTTTTGATATCATTGTGACAGAAAAGCCGAACCTGTAAAAAAACTAGTTTTTTTTTAAATAAAGATTTACATTTATTAAATATTTACTAATACTGGTACGTAAATACGCTACTAATTGTAAATATATTTTTTTAATCAACTCCTACACAGCGAAACTAATGAAAAATAATTGAGTGAAAACTGTTTTTCCAAACTACCCTTTTTTTCTCTGAAAAAAATTTCAAAATTTTTTTGTCGGGTTATTAGAATTGCATGATAACCGTAGTTCCTAAAAAATTTCGACCGAAAGATCTAAAAACTATAATCTTAGCTTCAAAATGCTTTTTTCTAGTTCCCGATACGACCATTTTTCGCCTAAATACAGTGTCAAAAAATAAAAAAATTCGGAAAATAGTTTTGGCCCTTTAATTTTTTATATTAGTTTATATTAACGGGTTTTAAAATAGATTCGAAATCAGCATAAACTACAAAAGGTACATTCATCTATTTTTCGAAACTTCTATATTTTAATATATTTTCAGGGACACTTTTACCAAGTTTACCTATTCGAGGTTTATTGGTGGGTGCAGTTATGCAGGCATGACTGCAATCATTACTTTGGCAGCAGTTATCTTTCGCTAGCAAAATAAGATATACAACCATCACAGAAAATTTTTTATGATTCTCATAAGAAATTTGACTTGTAACCAGACTTGAAAAGTTTTTTTTATCCAACAAAATACGCAATAATCGTCAAATATCTCTCTCCTCTAATTGAATTTACACAAAACAAACTTATTAAATGTATACAGGGTGTCTCATAATTAGCTGCCAACCCTGAACAGGCCGATTCTATGATCAAAACTAAGTAAAAAAGTTCATATGAACATGGGCCCGGAAATGCTTCCTAAGGGCACAGGGACCCATTGAAGAGGGAGGAATGGAAATCATTTTTTTGCAATATCTCTCAATCGCGTTGTGATAAATGAATGAAATTTGGTATACACAGCTAAATTTTGATGAGCAATTTGATGGACTAATCCATTTATTTCCACAAGGTCCATTGGGGTGGGTACGGGGGGGCCCTTGGTACTTTGCGTGTGTAACTTTTTCATCTTTGACTTTTTAACAAATTGGACAGCAAATTCCGTTTTCCCGAACTGTTTTACGTTAAAAAGGTACTCTTGTTTCAAATCGTTATCTTTAACGGTTTCTGAGAAAATCGCTCTTGAATTAATCCCACTTTGGTCAATTTCATAGTAATTTAAACAAAAAATAATAATAATAATTTAATACGTAATCAGTAATACACATTATTGATGTAGAACAATTATGATATGATGATTTGTTTATGGCTTTTGCGATGGTAATGCTGCGCGGCAGAACGCGAGTACGGCAGAAGGTTTCCAAACAGAAGGCTGACATCAAGGAGGACATTCCTCACTGTATTCCGCAATTTAGCTGCAACCGTCACTTTTCGAAGGGATCATAAGATGGAAACTTAATTTTGATAACAGACAACAAGCTATTTTAAAAACTGTTCAAAAAACCCTCCACCTTCTCTGATACAAAGTCTTGCCCTACGTGTAACACTTCTCGAAGCTATTAAGATGCTAAAACGGTTTTGACGAATTTCATTGGCTGCATCATTGATACGCTGCAGCAATTCCTCACGGGTATCGACTTCGGTGGCGTAAACTTTTTGATTTAGATATCCCCAGAAAAAGAAGTCCAGCGGGGTTAGGTCGGGAGAACGCGGCGGCCAAGCTACCGGTCCGTGCCTCCCTATCCACCGTCCAGCGAAATTTTCGTTTAGGAAATTTAGAACATTGCGACCACTATGTGCCGGGGCTCCATCGTGTTGAAAAAACATGTTACGTCGTAAATTTAGAGGCAGATCATCGAGAATTTGGGGAAGATTTTCTTGAAGTAAGTTTAAATAAAGATTTGAATTGAGACGTTGTGGAATTTCAATAGGTCCAATCAGAGTGTCGTGAATTATTCCCGCCCATAAATTTATGGAAAACCGTTGCTGGAAGTTTGTTCTCCGAACAACATGTGGGTTCTCTTCTTCCCAATAATGAGAATTATGAAAATTTAATTTTCCATTTCGGGTAAAAGTAGCTTCGTCACACCACAAAATTTTGGAAGCTTGCTCGTTGTCCAGCGACAAAATCCAGCGACAAAATTGCATACGTGGCGCAAAATCTTCTGGTATCAAGCCATGTACACGTCGATAGTGATAGGCATGTAGACCTTGTCGCTTTAATATTCTTCCAACCTGAAATGTTAGTAGCACATCTAATCAATTCTGTTAAGGAAATCTTTAAGATATGTAGTACCGTTGGCCGAGGAACATTTATTTGCCTTGAAATGTTCCGTATGCTAGTCGTAGGATCTTGTTCAATAGCGTCAAGGACCTCCGCTTCCCTATTAATCCTGGGACGTCCTTGACCCGGTGCCTTTCGAAAAGTGGCGGTTGCAGCTAAGTTGCGGAATACCGTAGGGAATGTCCTCCTTGATGGCAGCCTTCGGTTTGGAAACCTTCTCCCGTACTCGCGTTCTGCCGCTGCAGCATTACCATCGCAAAAGCCATAAATAAATATCATATCAACTAACTCTTGTCCCGTAAACTCTTCCATTTTTTTCGCTTAGAACTATTAAATTGGCAATCGGGTTGACAATACTTTGACATAAGAATACCTTGATAATTTTGTTTAAATTACTATGAAATTGACCAAAGTGGGATTAATTCAAGAGCGATTTTCTCAGAAACCGTTAAAGATAACGATTTGAAACAAGAGTACCTTTTTAACGTAAAACAGTTCGGGAAAACGGAATTTGCTGTCCAATTTGTTAAAAAGTCAAAGATGAAAAAGTTACACACGCAAAGTACCAAGGGCCCCCCCGTACCCACCCCAATGGACCTTGTGGAAATAAATGGATTAGTCCATCAAATTGCTCATCAAAATTTAGCTGTGTATACCAAATTTCATTCATTTATCACAACGCGATTGAGAGATATTGCAAAAAAATGATTTCCATTCCTCCCTCTTCAATGGGTCCCTGTGCCCTTAGGAAGCATTTCCGGACCCATGTTCATATGAACTTTTTTACTTAGTTTTGATCATAGAATCGGCCTGTTCAGGGTTGGCAGCTAATTATGAGACACCCTGTATATCACATATTCAAAACAATATCAATATATGCTGCAACCGTTCAATGTTAATGCAATTATAAATAATTTGATTATGAAAAATCTTAATGTATTAAATAAGTATTCTATTACATCTCTTCAATGATCAATATCACTATTCAATTACGATATGTAATTGCAGACTTGCGAGACAATGCGAGAATGTATGACGTCACCTGATATGAAGTGTATTAGAAACGGTCGCCGCGCAGGTTCTATGAAGCGACGTGTTAAAAATGGCCACCGATTCTGGACCTTCTCTGTATAGAATCAGCGCTGGCACTGTGAAAAAATGTGGCGGCGTTTTTGAACCGGTGAATAATCACTACTGACAATTATTGTCATTCAAATAGAAAAAAAATAATATCCCAAAAGCGAACTAAGTCGCAATGATTGAAGCAATTTCATTTCGAATCTGAAACCTTTGGGATTAACCTTGATATATAAAAAATCAAATATTGCTGGAACTAAATGAAGCACTAAAAACCATTAGCGAAGCACTAACAATATTATTTTTTTACTTTCTTTTTCGACAAAAAAATTTACAGTGGATATTTAGTAGAAAATCAATATTTCAATACATATTCTACTACCTACTTAATCTTTAAATTGTAGAAAAGTTAGATTGAAGTAAATAAAGACATGTACAAAGTAGGTATACGATTTCTATTTAAAATTAAAACCATTTAAAAGCTATAATAAAAAAGTATTATTTCACATTATCACATTCAGAGATAACATTACCTCAATAGGCTTCGACTTTAAACTTCTTTTATAATATAGGTAAGTTGTTCTCAGAGATATATAGTGGGAAGAATTCTCTTACAACCTGCGCGTGCGGCTAATAACAATGGTCGCCATTTTGAACATAATGGTTGCCAACAAAGATAAATTTTAGGGAAATTTAAATAGGAACAGGGAGAGGCAAATTTGAAATACAATACCAAAAATAAATATTCAAATTATATGAGCAACATTTTTTATTTTAATAGATTTTTTTTCAGAAATTGGTAAATATCTAAAAACAATAGGGTATTTTCACATTTTTTTTTTTACTTAAAAAATAGAAAGTACTTAAGCCATATATAACTAATGAAAACTTTTTTTGTTTAAAAAAAATCGCTATAATAGTTTTAAAACAATTATAAATTTAAGTAAAATATTTGGCAGGAAAAATGCCTAATCGAGTACGACTGGTTGCCTAGACTATTGTGACGTAGGAACTCATATCAACAAAGCCAAGTACAAGTACCTGTTGAGGTTATTGTATTTACTCCTGTTTTTATTGAGATTTTGCCAAGTTTATTTACTTTTTTTTAAATAATAATTATATAATACAAAAAGTAGGACATGTATGAATCACAAAATAAGTGGTGTTTTGTGCCCGGATGTAAAAATACTTCAATAAGTGCCCCTAATAAAACATTTATAAGTGTACCGCAGAATTCTTCACGCAAAGTTAAATGGTTTAAAGCAGCCAGGCGAGATGTTCCTAAATCAAAATCAACATTTTTTTGTTGCGAGGATCATTTTAACGTAAGTAAATATCAATTATGTACCTTAAGGACAATGTTCTAAATTTTGAGGTTAATTTGTATTAACAAACTTTTTTTATTGCTTTAAAATTTAAAAGTAAATATTTTAATGATATATTATTTAAATATGTATAATCTTATATATTATTTTATACTTGGTTTACTTATTATTGTTTTTTTTAGCCTCAAGAAGATATGGAAAATTTTGTTCGCTATAAACTTATTGGAGGAAAAGTTTTATTAAAACAGGACGTGGTTCCACATATATTTGATTGCCAACAAGACAGAAAAAGAGCTGCATCTGCACCACAGCGAACTGTTGTTTTAAAATGACAAAGAAAACAGTTAGTAGAAGAAGCTATAACCTAGAGAATAAGAGAAACAAATGTTGAAGATTTTTTACCAACAGTAATGGATTTTGATGGGCCCAGTACAAGCTCAGGTCAAGCCAGGTTAGAAAGGGATGAATATATTGTGGAAAATACAAAAGCAATTGGGAAGGCTAAAAGTGTGGATATACAGGCGAAACCACATGTTCTGTCATTCTTTATAAATTCGGTAACCATAAAAATATAAACACATGGCAAATTGTTCGTCGACGCTTTAACAAAACTCTGAGAAGCCATTTCTCGTTTTGCGAATGTACAACACAATCACTGATAATCACAAAACACCTGATAAGCTTTTAAGAATAATCGTAATAATAATAATTCTCAAATCAAAACTTAATACAAGGCAGGTATATACCTGTCATATGACTTGACATAGACCATCCGCCATTTATATGAGTAGTGACGTAATCAATGTCACAACCAATGAGATGATGTTTTACAAATCGTTTTGAAATTTGAATTTTATATAGGTTTTTATTATTAAATATTTAGTAAATTCTCATGAAATAGGTAACTTAAACTCTTTTAGGTGTTTATGTACATGTTATACTTTGTATTAAAATACATTTCTAGACAAAGTTTTGTATATAGAAAACACCCTATTCTATTCTGAAATATAAAGATAAACTAGTACAAACAAATAATAATGATTTTACATATTTTATTCATTGATGATTAAATATTAACTTAGTTGTTTCCGTATTTGATGTCCCTGAATTTTTTCAGTATATTTTTGCCTAAATTAAAAAATCTTATACGCGTATATGCAGAAACAACACTCTTCGTATCTTGACTAGATGACAATTCACTAAAATAATAATATAGACTGCCAGGGAAAATAATTAATATTTATTTAAAAAAGTATCAACAAAAAAATAAAATTACCAAAGGTTCCGGTTAAGCTTAGAACGCTCTGACGTATCATCTGATGATGATATCAATGGAGCATTTTTTGTATGGTATGTAATATTTCAACTGAACTTGTGGATGGAGAATCGGCTTTATTAGTTAAATAGACTTCTAAATTTGGAACTGCATCAGACTTTAGGCGAACTTGACTTCCAGTTTTCACGAAATATGTTACTTTAAAGAGACATGAACAAACAAATTTATTCTCTGACCATTTAAATTCGTGATCAAGTCTCAGACTTTCTACCCATTTTATAAACATATCACCCCTTGGAAAGCTATAACATAATTTAAACAGTTGTTGCAAGAAATAAATTCATAAAACCACTCATACCGATGAAATGTAATTCCTTTTGGTTTAAAGCTCCTTATATTAAAAAGCACCCTCTCACAGCACACGACATAACAAAAACAATAAACGATAAATGTTTTCTTTAGTGTAGAAACGATGTATTGAATATTTAAAAAACGTCCACAGCGCAATTTGCCGCCCCAGGCGTAAATTATACGTTTATAAACAAATAATGTAGGAATAGTGTTCACCCGCCAAAATTAAGTTTATATAAACATCACGTATGAACGATAAGGCGTCACGGCTGAGAGAGGCAATAGAGAGGCAATGAAAAAGCGCGAGAACAGTTAGTGAATTCTTAGCATTAGTTGGCATAAGATGTGTTTTCTGTACAATTAAGTAATATATGTATATCAGTTTATCTACCTTTTATTAATTGGAGAATTCCAATTATCCTACAAAGTCAGAAGTGGGATTGTTTATTGTTTGTGTAAACTCACGTGCCAGTAAATATAGTGCCTGACAATGAGTACACCTGAACCACAGCCGTCTACATCGAGAAAGCGCTCGTTCGAGGACAGCACTACGATGTGATGTTAGTGACGAGTGATTGATTGATGCTGTTATAGGGGGGATTAAAGACGAAAATGTAGCACGTACTTTAAGTTCAATGCAGTTTGTTGATACAGATGATATGTATTCCAGAATACGCGCAATGGGACAAGTGCCACATCTATTGACACAAAAGCGTGGAATTGAATCTACGCAACAAGGTAATGTAACAGGTCAATCACCGGGACGCTTACAGAGATCGCCAGGGAACAGAAATTTTCCCAGTTACTTGTTTCAATTGTAAGCAAGCAGGACATAAAGCTGGAAATTGTCCAAGGCCACGTTTGCAATGTAAGAAATGTCACAGGCTAGGGTATTTGGCTGAAAAGTGCTGAAAGAAATTTATAGAAAATACAAACGAAGTAGATGTAACTGCAGTAGATAAAGAGCCAATAAAAAATATGTTTATTGTGTCAGCAAGAATCAATAAAGTAAAAGTGAAGTGTCTAATTGATTCAGGTAGTTCAAGTAGACTATCGGTGGCACAAAAACTAAATTTGAATTTAGTCCGCGGAACAAAAAACATAATACGCAGCTTCATGGGAACAACCACGATAAGTGATACAAAAGCCAATGTAAATATCCATGTAATGGACGTGGCAGCTACAATGTGTAATTATCATGAATGACGAGGAACTTCTGCATGATGTTATAATAGGGCGAGACTTTTTGGATCAGAAACACGTTTTACTCGTAAAACGACGAGATTGTGTAATTTTGCGTGCGTTGCCGGACTTAAAGCACAAGGTCTCTCAGGAGATCATCAGTGTTTGTGCTAGTGATGTTCTTAAAACGAATGATATAGTGTTCGGTGACATCAAAGATGACGATAAGACTGAGTGCATTAAGTTACTTAACAAATTTGCAGACTGTGTAGCATTTTCAACGAGTAGTCTAGGCAAAACAAACGCAATAACTATCAACATAAAATGTGTAACAGATGAACCTATTGTATATCGACCATATCGCATGCCAGTCAGAAAAGGCAATTTTGCGTGAAATGATGAAAGTGTTGCTAAACAATGAAATTATTCGTGAGTCATGCTCCCCTTATGCTAGCCCAATAATGTTAGTTAAGAAAAAGACTGGTGATCATCGATTAGTTGTTGACTATAGACGTTTAAATGCAGGAGTTGCGTACTCCACTTCAAATGAATTGTGAAGCGTTGCGTACGCTTACAGTACAAGAAATGTAGGAGGTGCGTACTGCACTTCAAACGAAAATGAGAAGCGTTGCGTACGCTTGCAGTATAAGTAACGTAGGAGTTGTGTACTCCACTTCAAATGAAATATGCAGTACAAGTAATGCACTTCAAATGAAAATATGAAGCGTTGCATACGCTTATAGTACACGAACTGATGCAAACATTTAAATGTAAAGCAATAAAAGGAGATGCGTACTAATATTTCAAACAGAATATTATACTTAAACGTTTTATGGAGCTGAGCACTTCTTAATATTGACCTGCTAAAGACGCAAATCGCTACATTTTGGAGCTGCGGCCTTTTCCTCAAATGTTAACTTCAAATATATATCAAATGTAGTGTTGCGTACACTCAGTACAAACGTTTTGTAATGTTGAGCATTCTTTGAAACTGACCAGTTCAATACGCTGATTGTTATGATAGTATACTGAAGGTTGCGGTCTTCGTCGTTCAAATATTTATTTACGACATCTGAGGACAGACGGGATTAGGTTTATATAAACATCACGTATGAACGATAAGGCGACACGGCTCTTATCCTACAATAGTAATAAATAATTCACGAAATATAACCTTGCTCACTCCTCAAAAATCAAAACAAAACAAAATTCATGTTCAAAATGACGGCATTGGTAGTGTCCCTCAAAAATGGGATGCGCAGAAGTCAATGAGCCTTCTCCCTACTCTATATCTCTGGTTGTTCTAAATGATCTTACTTTGACCCAAAAATTTGTGGCCGACTATCTTTTTAACCTTTATACCTACAGGATACAAATTTTATGGTTATTAAATATAATTAACATGCACTTCCTACCTGTTTGAAGTTTTTTCCGGGATGGATAATATGACTGGAATTCCAGTTTTATAAGTCTGGGGCAATTCAGATTGCTTCTCAGCTACACTTAACTGGATTAACGAAAAATCAATGTTTGTATGAGGCGAAGTATCAGAATTTAAAATCTGTAAAGCTGTTTTTTTCATAAGCTAGAAAAAGTTAAAGTATAACAGTAAATGTTTATAAAAAGTAAACTATTTTTTTATATCATTAAATAGGTAAAGTAGTGTAGAATGTAATATATATCAACTTTCCACTATAAAAATAATTGAAGTCATATTCATTTGGATTTTATTTAGAAAAAATTGAAAATTGCCGTTTTGGAAAATCTGCTTTTTATGAAATGTGCAGTAGAGTAGTTTCCTTTTTTTAACCAATAATTCTTGAGAAAATAACTTTATTTTTTTTTATGAACGCCAGTTTGGATTTTATCTAATTTTAAATGAACGTAATTTTCTGATTATTATTCATCAACCAATACATGACTGATTGATTCCACCTCAATCGGAACAGTTCCGCAGACAAAATTTGCTACATTCGAAAAAAGTGTGTATGGTCTCAAAATGTATGTATCTGTGTGTTTTCAAAAGCAACGTGGCCTCTGAAAAATATTCAACATGATGGATCCAATGTGACGCCTGAAAGATACGTTTGTAATGGAATAATAAATAAAATTAACAATTATTGAATCCGAATTTAAAGTCAGAATTCCCGGATCAGTTCCTGTGTTGCTCCTAACATAAAGACACATAGAGTGACTTTCTTTTTAATCGACTGTGTAAGAAGCTGATTTAAAACCAAAATAAGTAATAACTCAAAAATTGGTCATTTTACTAATAAAAAAGATATTTTTCTATGATATACAATTGGGAATCAAACGACCTTCTAAAATTTACAATATTTTCAGTGGAGTCGTAATTCTGACGTTACTGACACTGTCGCCCAGTATTTCTGCTACAGTTAATTTTTTCCTTGACTTATATTAGTTGTCGCCACCTCGAGTTTCATTAGTAAAAGTCAAACATTTTCCATGACATTTGCATTTTAAAAAAAATATGTTTTTTAAAAACTAAACACCTTGTAACTTGCACATAAAGCAACTATGTACTGAAGTGAATATTCAATTAATATATTTTGAACTCAATATTATCAAAGTACCATTTATGCTCCTTCATCTAAATATAGCCTGTACAGAATAAACAAAAAAATTATAGGCATCCATTCCCAAAATAATAATGCTCGATTGCATTTGTAACAAAATAAATTATATACTCACTCCATCTTTAGGTATATCCGATAGTAACTGAGTAACAAAATGCTTTTCAGGAGGTGTCAGTCTTGGTAATTGACCTGGATATTCTAATTTTGGAGCCCCTACATTACTTTGATGTTCAGGAGGATACTGAAAAATAATTATTAATATAATTTCAAGTTTAAATTTAGGTGCTGATATTTAAAATACGATGGTTTTCTGGGTTGTTATGCCGTGACCTATGTCGCCGTCGCACCAGTTATATAATTACATTGCACTTCCTTAACCTAGGAATCTTTGATCTGCTCTTACTGTTGTTAGGCCAGGCTAAGGCGGACTCCCCTGATGTTAATTTTGGTTCTTGTTGAGAGAACCGAAACGAATATCAGAATAATCGAGAACTGTTCTGATAGCGGATCTCTTTCCACACAGCCTAGCCCGAGAACAACAAGGGCTGATCAAAGATTCCTAGCTAAGAGCTCAAACTATGTAGGTACTCTATGTAATGAAGACAATATTATTATTATTATTATTATTATTATTATTATTATTATTATTATTATTATTATTATTATTATTATTATTATTATTATTATTATTATTAAGAAAGTACAAGGTAATTCTGTAATTGGTAGCAACCAGGTACATAGGCCACAGCATTACAACCCGGAAAACCATCATACTAAATTTAGGTTTTAGTAGTTTATTTAAATACATTTAAAATGGCTTTTCAGTTTAAGTTGGGTGTATTTCAGTCACCACAGTTAGACAAATTCAGATAAGAATTGGATATAAGAGAGTTTATACTTTATAGAAATGTATAACATAACATAAAGCAAGTACATAATACATTATATATTTTTCAGTACTTGAATAGAGGTTGAATTTGTCTATACTTTTTTTCAAAATTGAAATTGATCTACAAATAAAGAAGTAAACTACATCTGTACAATATCAAAATTGTCCAAGAATTTTGGCGGTTTCAAATGTTTTCTTACAAAATAACTCATAGCAAGCTTAGTGGATAACTTGACAAGTACGTTATGACGTACCCGACGCCCCCGGTGGTCTACCAACTCTAAACGATAACTAATTTGAAATTTGAATTATAATTTACAATATTTATATGGCCGATTGCACCAACGGTTTTAAGGCATCCTTACGGCTAAGCAACCCATAAAATCAACATTTTGCTTGCAACATTAAGGAATGCTTATAGTATCCTTAAGCTTTCTTTTACCAAGGCTTCGTTAGCGACCACTTAAAGTATTCTTGTTTAAGTTGTTAGGTTATGTTTCATTATTCATTTTTACAATTAGGAATCAACTTTTTAATTGGTTCAGGATGACAATATAGTTAATTATAAATAGTGATAATGGAAAACCTAGAATTAGATGATGAACTAGATTTCATTGGAGATGATTTGGAACTTGTAGAAATAATTGAAGCAGGATTACCTAGGAAAATTTATGATCGTTCAAATTATTTTGAAGAAATGGATCCTATGGGATTTTTTAGAAGGTTTAGGTTAACTAAGGAAACTTTAATAAATGTTTTGCCTCAGATAGAAGACCAGCTAGAATATCCACATAATAGGTAGTGTACTAAAGTAGATACTGCGCTGGAAACATTTTGGCTCCTAATTTATCATAATAGAAATTAATGAATGAAGTGAATTTGTAACGTACTTCGCTGGGTTTCGGTTTTAGTGGTGACGGTTAGTAACGTTACTTGTGGCCGCCCCCGGTATACTACCAACTCTAAATGGAATTTTAATTCACAATTGCGAATTCTAATTTACTAGATTTATTGACGTCACTGACGTCCCTATTTGGACGTCTAATTTTATGACGACCCTTGACTACTAGTTTATCGGCAGCGGTGGTTGGCAGCCGGCGGTGGCGAGTGACGTCAGAGAAACGTACTCCGGATTAAATCTTTCTGTGCGGATTGTTTCGGGCGCCAGTTTTCCTATCTTTTACGTGGGGGAAACTCCACGTGAAACCTACCCTCGGTTTAGAGTAAGTACTCGGGATAGCTGCAGTGAAGAAAGTTTAATTCCAGGGGTCTGTTATTTCTCTTAATTTTAATCAACGTAGTTCTCTGTGTAGTGTTATTTTACTTTTAAAATAAACGGTCTTATCAGTGTAGATCACAAAAAAATAAGAAAACTCTTTTTTACTGATCGGAATTTTATCAAACTTGTCGGCGTTAAGAATGAATACAAACTGGAATTATATTTATACTAGGTTTATTGTCTATTAATAAGGCCTATTGAAACAAACAAACAAAAGTAAAATAGATTCTAATTACAATTATTATCAAAATGGGTTAGAGCAATTATTATTACGACGGATTTAAAATGCCGATGCGGTTTTTCGGTGCTGTAAATAAATACCAAATTAGCACATAGTCAAAGATCAGGACACAAAATCGGTACGGTAGAAAAGCGGAGTATTTGGCGTTTAGTTTATTTAATAAACGGTCTAATACTTTAAGAAGCGGTACGCCAAAATAATATTCGGTTTCAAATTTCGGTCGGTGCTAGATAGGGAAAAATAAAGTTAATAAATTAGAGCAATAAATAATCAATAAATAAATTGTCCCCAATGGTTCTGAAACAGAAAAATGATTACGGGTTACTCTAATTCTACAAATAAATATCGGCGGCAGTTTCTAGCAAAGCGACGGAAATTAAGCGAAAATGCGACCAGCTAGGAGAAAAAGCGGTTTACAACGGGCATAAATATAAGCAAACGGTAATCAGGAAAATGATGTTGTTGGTGAACAGGAGGCAAAGACTGGGCGAGGTGCGAGTTCAAATGCGGGGCGGCCGACAGATTTCTCCCAGAAGCGGTGGAGCACCCAGCCAAACTTCGAGGGTCTATCCGTCGCTGCACAGCCGACACACAACGTCTTCTACTGGCGGTGGAGCACCCAGCCGAACCAGCAGTTTCGGTTATTGTGCCTTACAGCGTTTATCAAGCTTAGGCGGTGGAGCACCCAGCCAAACCAGCAGTTTCAGTAAAGGGGCTCACAGCGTTTGTCGAACGAGGGCGGTGGAGCACCCAGCCAAACCGTCGCCGATAACGCTGCTACCGTACGAGCCTGCACTCAACGTCTTCTGCTGGCGGTGGAGCACCCAGCCAATCCAGCAGTTCGGTTGACGTGACGGACAACGTTCGTTGAATGAGGGCGGTGGAGCACCCAGCCAAACCCTCGCCGACAACGCTGTGGTCGTACAGTCTTGCCAGAGTTCAAAACGGCCAGACTTATACCATAGCAGGCAAGTGAAAATAAGAAAATACAATTTGCTTACTTATTCCGGACGGTTGCTTCTGGCGGCTAACTCCTTGGGTCGGGTGGCGGTCTCTGATCGGTTTTCAGGTCCTCGGGGTGGTCCTCAGGCTGGTGTTGGAGTTCTTCGAGTTCTGGCAGCGAACTGAGGATTTTAGTCCAGGATCGTTGGTTTTATTGCTTCAATCCCCCATTGACTAGGCAGGAGTCGTGGTGGGATTATGCGCGCGGCCCTCGACAAAGTGGGGCAAACGGACGGTTTGGCTCGACTCGCGGTTAATTGCTCTCACCCAATTAACTAATTAAATAAATAACTGGCCAATGGCCTTGCATAAAACTTGAAATTAATACCGGTTCATTACAAATTAATCAAATTTCATATTCTAGAAATAACAGTGTTTCACCTATGAACCAGGTCTTGTGCTGTCTTCGGTATTATGCCAGTGCAGGTCATCTTAGACAGGTAGCCGACTTTATGGGAATGGACATAAGTACAGCTTGTAGAATTGTTAGTAAAGTGTCAGGAATAATAGCAAGTTTATTTCCTCGTTACGTTAAAATGCCTGAACAAAACAAGATTATACAGGAACAAAATAAATTGTATGACATTGCTCGCTTTCCCCGTGTGATAGGAGTTGTTGATGGCACTCACATCAGAATACAATCTCCTGGTATGAATCAAAATAATAAAGATAATTAGTTTAATTTTTGGTAAGAGAGAACTAACACGTAACAGTTGCTTTTGGCATACATCCTGTAATATTTAAAATTGTATATTCCTTAACTAACTTTGCATACTTACACGATCGGAACAATTGTAAAAATGGTTTACACCTATCACTTGTTCCGTCGCAACCAAAAAGCTCTACCGACTGTACAATCAATAAACTATTTTGCTTTTAGGTGATAATGCCGAGGTGTTTGAAAATAGAAAAGGTTATTACTCTTTAAATGTTCAGGTTGTCGGAAATGCAGACCTAAAATTTTTGGATGTGGTGGAAAGATGGCCTGAATCTGCTCACGATGCAACAATATTTGGTCACAGTAATTTAAGAATACGTTTGGAAGCAGGACATTTTCCCAACAGTATCCATGTGTATTTATTTGTAAATTTTTTATTACAGGAGACAGTGGATACCCAACGATAAATTATCTTCTTACTCCTTTAATGAATCCTATAACAAGAGCTGAACAAATGTATAACGAATCATTAGTGCGATCTAGAAATATAATTTGAAAGGATTATAGGAATATAGAAAAGAAGATTTCCTATAGTTGCATATGGAATGAGATTAAACTTAGAAACCACAAAAGCAATAATAATTGCAACAACAGTGCTGCACAATATTGCCAGACAAATGAATGAGCCAGAACCACTACATCCAGAAAATATCAATTTAAATGAGCTAAATTATTTAATAGAAACCGAGAATATTGAAATACCTGTAGTTAGAAATTTGAATGTAAATCATGTCCAACAAGAGATTATTCACTTTTTTGGGGGTTTATGAAGATAAAATTAGATTTTTATAGTTGATAAAATATGTATGTAGACATATGTATGTATTAGGTAAAGTTGTATCATTTGTTATCTTATTGGAATACTCTGTTGGGTAGTGTAAAGTTAAAACAAATAAACAATATTGCAAAAATTCCTACTTGGTCCATTATTTTTTATTTAAATGAACAAGTAACATGTATAAACACTTTTTGTGAAAACTAAATGGCAAAAAAATAAACAAAATTAAAGGTAACAAGTTTGAAAAAATAGTAAACAGTATTTCAAAAGTACTACTTTCACCAGATAGTGATTGATCTTAAAAATCAATATATTTAAAATTGATAAAGATAGCAATATGTAAAAGCCTTATGTTTCCGTGAAATTTGTAACGTCAACTAATGTTTTCAAAAATCTTGTATAACAGCATATCGTACAGTGTCTGGTTGTAAGTTGAACAAGTCCTATACATTTTTTACATATAATAAAAAGTATTTATTATTATTATTTTGTATCGCTGGCAAGCCTATTTGTTGTTTTTTTATCTCAACTTCCAGTTTTTTTTTCGATATCTAATTTAAGAGCCTGAGTTCTGAGATTGTGTTCTACATTTGAATGCTCTATATCCAGTTTGAGTTTTTTCAGTGTGTAACCTGCAATCACATTTTTCTTGTCTGCAAGTACGTTGTATTTTTCAGCTAGCTGGTTTGAGGCCAAACTTTCAGACAACAGTTTCAGTTGGTCTTCTTCTATTAAGTGGCCTCCGAGTTGTATTGCATACATTTTTATTTATATCCAAGTTGATATCATTAGTACCAAGATTATGTGATGGCTAAAAAAAAATTAACATAATTAAAATTCAGATTAAATTGAAACATTTTTTTCAACCATACTGCTACTTACTAGTTCTTCTCTGGGACCACATAAAGGTGTTGATATGGGTCTTAGCAAATCTGACCCTTTTTTCCAATTAGTTTGTTTACGTTCACATACATCAAGTTTTTGTTGGTTCCTCGTATCCTACAACATTTAAATATGTCATACTATATTTTATCAAAATTTTGGTTTCAACAAGAATTCAATGAAAAATACATTTAAGTTTAAAATAGTAGGTAGGCCACTAATGCTTTAGACTAGAGTGTAGTATAATTTTACGCCCTTAAATAAGGACTTAAATGACAAAAAAGAGCTAGTTTGGACAAAAAGTAATATATA